CTCAAAATACCCATTTTTCAGTTTATTAACGGATCTTCGAAAAAAGAAACCATCTCAAATTGTAGTCGATATAAGTTTGAGGACCCACAAAATGGAAAGCGGGAAGCCAACTTATCTACATACAACTAAAAACCCTTTTGTAGCAAATATAATTCTGATATTCTTCAATAACCCAAACATGTTCGTGCTTGCATAGAAACTTGTTGAAAATATGTAAAAGATCAATACAACATTCCGATTACTAATGTTAATAACAGAACATATCGATACTGCGCTCGATACCTTAATTTAAGATTACATTGAATAAATTCTGTAATGAACAACGTGGAGCAGATGGGCTATTAATACGTTCGGAGTACGCGCTTGCTCGGGCCGATGCTCGCCGGCAATTGGGGTGGGTTATTATTGGTCAACCGACATATTAAAATGGCTTCCTAGTTATTAGTTATATTTATTTATTTATCGCGTACTATATTTTTACATAAAGAACGACAGACGAAGACAGACCATGGACATGAGAAAGAAGAAAAAGGTCAAAAGTAATAGGAGGATCGGAACACTCAAGCAATCAGGTCATCCTTTTTTTTTTATTGTGGTGCTACCTTTTTGGCGCACTCGCCCACCCTGCCTTGATCCTGCGGCCCGATATATACATCAGGATCCCTTGGGACGACCTACGGCAGCTATCCTACCTCCATCAGGAACTGCATGTTATCCACTTAACAACGAATTCAATACATTTAAATAGTAAACTTAGAAAGATATAGATATTTTATATTTAGAAATGTAAGTTTGATTAATACCATTAGAACATTATAGTTATATATACAAGGAAGTGATAATTATAGTTTATATGCATGTTTGCAGAGAGATTTTCAAAAAATGTATTTAACAAAAAAAAAATGCCAGTTGATCAGCGCGGTTACTGTCTGCAAGTGGTCCTGCAGTAGATACATGCATCATCAATTCAACCCGGGCATGCACATATTCTAATCTATGATTTCATGAAACAATTTTTTTTTTTTTATTTTTTTAACTCTATTCGATATGCAAGTAAGAACAAAATCAAAAAAAAACTAACACTTGTCTTTGTTTCTTGTGTTCTGTATAATGGTAATACGATCGAATCCAATATTAATCGCGGTGTGGGGTATATATATATATAGGTTTAGGGGCTATATTAGTTTATATGAATATTATGCATTCAGAGCATGGTCGCCTTGCGTTATGAAAAACAAACAAAAATAATTTAAAGGTAGATATATAGTTGCTTTGCGCAGCTGCTGTTGTAAAAGTACAGTTGCTCAAGTTTAAAGAGTAGCTTGCGAAAGGTTATCTAAGCGCGACTCATAATAAAGAAAGAGAGTAACTTACATACATCATCCCACGCTGGAAGTACTTCCTGGTGTTGGTGTGTGTGTGTGTCGCTGTAATTAGTTATGAAGAGAGAGTGCAAATATTTCAAGCCTCGTGCGAAAGCTCGCAGCGTATAATGATCATGGGAGTGAGCGATTATCACAAGCCACGTGCGAAAGCTCGCTGTCAGCATAAGCCGTACGCTGAGACAAATTTTTGTGTGTTTTTCATTCCGCATGCAATTCTAAATAGAGGGTACTTATTAGTTATATAAAATATAAATTTTTTTTTCTTAATTACACAGAATCGTCACAATTTCCATTTTTTTTTCTTTTACTTGCATTATCACTATAATTTTTATGATTAATTAAACAAAAAAAATTTCTTTTCAAATTACATTTAATTTAACTTTTACTCATTTACTTCGCCGAGTGCACACGTGAACGAGCTTTTTCTATTTGCTAGACATATGAATACTGAATTTTTCACTGAGGTTAATTTTTTTTCATTATTCACTTTTGTATATAAAGATAAAAAAAAAGGAAGGAAATTGCTCTAACTCCTTGCTACTTTTGCAATTATTAAAGTTGACTCCATGAGGTAGCTGGGTAAAGCTGATAGGCTTGGAATGTAGCAGAAGGTCCGCCAACAGTTGACGATGTTCATCCGTTTAAGTTCGGTCTAGGAATGCTAATGAGATGCGCTCGATGCCCTTTTACCTATTCTTCTTAGCACGACATACATGAGTTGGTGGGTACGATCGAAGGTTAAGGCGTGCGCCAAGGGCGAGTTTTAAGAGAGACTCTCTTAAACACCTTAAATACAGCAATTTGGGCAATCAACTTAGCACAGACATCTCCACCGTGAACATGGGCGTGGCAAAGGCGTTATATTTATTAACTTCTTCGAACTACCAATCCATATTAAGCACCGTATTAAGTGCCCATTCTAAAACAACACATTTATTTAAATTGGTGTCATTTTTTGAATGGTTGTTAATTCATTTACCCTTGACAAATTTCTGAATAGACACTGATATAAAAACCGTTTTGTGCGGCACTAATTTTTCTATTACACTGTACCGCAAATTATTAACTTTATTAACATTTTTTTTTTTTCCAATGTTTGCAACGTCCACAACTTGCTCGCTCAAAGGCTAGGAAATGAAAGGAATGTGTCCGCGGTCAAAAGAACTTATGAAGACACGTTTTGGCAGAATTTTGCTTCACCCTTTATTTCAACAATTTTGGAATTTCCTTTCTTATTGTTTCTTTTATTTTTTTTTGGAAGCTCACCACAATGGCTCATAGATGGCGCTATTTGTGAAACGCACAAATTATTGCCCCTTTTTAGGAGAAAGCTAAATTTATGAGCTCGACAAGCGAATCATTACAATTCTTCTTAGTCTAACCGACAAACCTAGTGCATCACTTTTTGCCGCTTTAAAAACCCAACAAAACTGATAATTGCCTACAAAATACCAAAATACATCTGTTGCACAGGATATACCACGTAATATGTACATTTGAATGTGAAATGTAATAAATTCAAGGGTATAAGATATTTACACTTGCTGAAGAAGTAAAGAGATTCTAGTACGTGAGTTAAATCTTAAACAGTAAATATTTGACGATTACATTAGAGTAACAGTCAGGGGTCTGACACGTAAATTAACAGCGGAATGGTTTGTACAGAAATATGTGTGCATATATTTTATAGTTTTGTTTTTTTGTATTCATATCTTTATCTGACTATACAAGTCCGTTTTCCTCTTCGCTGAGCAAAGTAGCTTTCTATCAATCAGTGGAGACTTAAAAATATAGTGGGCGACAGCAATAATCTGAGTGTAGAAATGTGAATATGTGTAAAATAGCATATATGTATGTCCAGAGATAATTAAATAGAATATACAGTATGTCAAGAAAGTGTTTGGACACAGGAATAATTCATATTTTCTCATTTCTTTTGCAAAAAAAGCTTACAATTGACTTTTATTTTTTTCTTCTATTAAGTGTTCTTAAAAATTTTTTACAAAAAAATTAACAAGATTCATTTATTTTAACCAACACAACACTATTTTCACAGTCCAAAGAATGACTAATTTTGAAGCGATGAGAAATATGAATTTTTCCCTGTATTGCAATACTCTTTGTGCAATCCCGTGGGTAAGCACTTATACGCTTGTGTGTGTGTACAGTATACATATGTATTTTTACTATGTGTGTTTGGACAACGGCTGTTTACGATTTTGCAATCCCTCTTTAAGCCTATCCCGTTAGTAATGAGGGATTTTCACAGCATTTGATATCGCCGTTGGTATATTATAGCCACTAGATTGGCAAAATCGTTCGATTTTCGATGGGATTAATGTCTGGACTCCTTAGTGGAGTTTTTAAAATTCCACAATTGTTTCAAATAATGAATCTTGTAATTTTTTTATTAAATAGTCTTATGAAGTCCAGTTAATTATATAAAATAAATAAAGTCGATAATAAAATACCTTTGTTTTGCAAAATAAGTTTGAAAATATGAATTTTTCCTGTGTCCAAACACTTTATTGAAATACTGCATATGTAGACTAAACCCGCTCGAAATGAGCGAAAGAAGATAGAGCTAATATTTCAAATAGTTTGCGATACGAACTCAAATTGTAAGTTAAACTAGTTATTAATTTGACTACGTGACAACTACAACAGATAAATATATTTTAATAAACAGCCAATACCAACATAATATCTGTGAAGATTAAAACACATAGTCAACTCGTGGTCATCAATTTATTTAATCTGAGCACAATGCCGTTACTTCTGTCAACATAAAACGATTTTTTTTTAACTCGAAATACCCTTCATTATTTCTGACTCAAATTGGAGTTTATCTATATCCTCTTATATAGTCGAAAATACCTCAAGTTTATAAAATAAACCACTTATATAACTTTGCTGTTCTTCAAAGACCCAAACTTGTTCGTGCTTGCCTCAAATAATTGTCTGCCTAAGTTCGCCATATGCCATTGTATTGTTTTTTTAATTGATTTACGGTTACAAAAATAACATTATTTGTATGTGCAAGGAAAGGGGGCAATAAATTTGGTTCTCATTTTGTCTGGATTTCATCAATCAGTGGAGAGTTTATAAAAACGGAGAGTATTCTTCTAAGTATATATGTATGTATGCATGTATTAATGCATGTATGCAAATATTGGTGTGCACAGCGAATCGAGGATCAACATTTAATTCTTATCCCTTGATACTCAACATGTTCAGACACGCATACAATAATCTTGTCGAAAATCTAAGATTAAACTAAATTAATTTTTCAAAGATGTCAAACATGTGTAAACACTTTCTCTACACTAACGAAGGAGGAAGAAGCATGGTTGTTTACATACATACATATGTCATTCTGAGCATTTCGTCTATCGCTCTTCGCTCTATGCTTCGGCATATGTTCGTAAATCAGAAATGCGAGAATAAAGAATTAAAGATAAAGCAGGACAAAACCAGCGTATCGTAGGCTCTCACTCATGCATGTATTTGTATATGCATATATGTGTATGTGTGTTTCTGCGCTTGTGTGTGTGGAATATATAAGAGACGCTTGGTCAAATAAACAGCTCAGTTTCTTGTGAAATTTCTTAATGAGCACATCTCGACCGGAGCGAGAGAGGAGGTCAAATTTCAATTAGATTGCGATAAGAATTGAACAATTATGGAACACGAATTCGTAAGTTAGCTCAATATTGATGTCATGCTAATTGCATTCAATAATTGTAATTAAACAGGTGCCCAAAAGTCCGACGTCCACGCTCTGTGAAGACGAGAGTGACGATGGTAACAACGCAAAGTTCTTGGGTCCAATCCATCCGCCAACACCTTTCACTGGTGGTCATCCATTTAATGGGAACGCCAATGTAAGCATATCGCCGTTACTTCTGGCAACGCCGCCACTCTCCCCACTGGACATGAGTGTCCAGAACCCGAATATGCCAATGGCCTCGGCGATGCTGTCCTCGAATTATTCGTCGCTATATCCACCAACTGGCTATATACGGATCATACCTTGCTTTGTGTGCAGCCAGCTCTTCACTGACATTGTGCCACTGAGCAAGCACTTGCAAATGCATGCCACGCAAATATTGCACATGAATTCTACGAATGCTCCAACACCAGCCACAATTGAAAAGAACAGCTTAAATTTGGGACTACCTACAGCTATGTCTACTCCAGTTCTTCCCGCTCCAGTTAATCCTATTCCAGCGACGAGTGATGAAAGCCCCCCAAACGCATCGCCTTTCAAATGCGATTACTGTCGCAAGGTGTTTAAGAACTCGATGTCGCACAGGGTACATCAGAGGCTGCATCGCCTGCCATCGCTAAGCGAGGATAGGTTGGGGTACAAGAGGCAATTCAAGTGCCACATTTGCAGAAAAAGCTACGTGCGAGAGACCTTTCTGCAGAAGCACATTGAAGCAAAGCACAGCCGATTTTTGGGACCTGTGCGGCAGCTTCCCACCCAGGTGGAGTCACAGGGTCATCTGGCGGCAATACCAGGGCCTGCGTCGCCACCGCCGGCGAACGCTGATATTGAGCCAAAGAAAATCTATACTACCAGATTGGCAAATGCCGTTGCAGCGGCTGCATACAATCCAGCAAGAGAAACAGCCTCGAAATACATTCCGCCAACGGTAGTTGGCCATCAGCAGGTGGATTCCTACTCACAACTACCACCGCAGCAGAAATATGTCCCTCGTTCGCCCTACTTTAATCCGTATGTCCTTAAAATAATATATATAATTCCGATTTGCTATTGCTAAAACATTTATTTTGATTTTGCTTTTTCTAGGAATCTGTGGTTTTACGAGGATTACGTATAATTCCTAATAATTTTGTTTCTTATCGCAAGCGAGAGAGCAACCCGTAATTCGCAGCTAGGCTGTTTAAAACATCTAAGTGCTCTTAATTGATGCATATATGTATCAAATACATATACAGATAAGAACGTAATGATTTGATGAAAAGCTGATAATAAGAAGCAAAAACATTTGAACCGAGTTCAAGCAATAACAAATATCAAACGTTTTAAGCTCACAAATGTCACAAGTTGTTATTCTTTCAATCCCTACTGTTATATACAATCTGATGTATATAATAAGTGAACCAAAGAAGCTGAGTTGGCAACATGCCTGACTGGGAAAAACCTGATTGCTGATAATGCTTTTATGGCATAGCAATTCCGCTTGGGATTTGGTAAACGGCGACCTGACCAAATAATAAACAAACTGCTCGAATCCAAAAATGAAATTTAATCGGGTTTCGGCGCTCATATAAACATCTGTATTATTGAATTCGCTTCAGTTGAACAAACGACAAGCTCTCGATCAATTTACATTGAATGGTGGAACTGTTTTGTGATGGCTTAGTAAGTAAAGTTAAGTTAATTTATTTTTTGGTTTTATTGTTAACGAATTAATGATATGAAGTAAAGAATATAAGTTTTTATTTAACAACTTACTTTCTGTTTTATTTCTGGTCTGACGAGAGACAATTTTTATTAGAATATATTGTAAATCTTAATGATATAAAGGGGTTTAAAGCTATGCCAAAGCATATACGAAGGAAGCATTTCTGTCAGCATAAGTATTATATATTCTTGATCCGCATATATATATTCGTCCGTCTGATATCAGACAGATCCGAAGGCTACAGACATCAAATTTTGAAAATTATCTCCCATATTGGGTATGCGGAATTTAATTAATTTAATCGATAATTCTTACTGCTAAAAATGAATACTATTTTAAGACAAGATCCTACGTGCGCAGCAGTAAATTACTCATTAAGAGGTACAGAAACCTCAGCAGGGATCACTTGCCACGAAATACATGCTCAGAATAAATAAGACCAAAAATATAAATATTGCAGGGGCTAGCATTGATCTCCTTCTGTAGATAATAAGTGATCGCTGTTTGCTATATAAGGCTACTATTTTAAGCACTAAAATCAGTTCACATTTGCAACTCGACTCTGCACTTACTGATTAAAAAATAATAATGAAATGAACTAAATCATTTGATGATGCATGTCCTGTGGCATAACTTTTCAATTTAAAACTTCTGGAATTCATATTGTTTCGAAATATTAGTCATGTAGTATCCAATGCCCTGCTCAGAGTTCAAACTCTCAAACATACTTATTTAAAGTCGATAATAAAATACCTTTGTTTTGCAAAATAAGTTTGAAAATATGAATTTTTCCTGTGTCCAAACACTTTATTGAAATACTGCATATGTTGACTAAACCCGCTCGAAATGAGCTAATATTTCAAATAGTTTGCGATACGAACTTAAATTGTAAGTTAAACTAGTTATTAATTCGACTACGTGACAACTACAACAGATAAATATATTTTAATAAACAGCCAATACCAACATAATATCTGTGAAGATTAAAATACATAGTCAACTGGTGGTCATCAATTTATTTAATCTGAGCACAATGCCGTTACTTCTGTCAACACCGTTACTCTCCGCGCTGAACATTAGTGTAAGGATCATATCTTGCTTTTTGTCAGTCAGCTTTTCATTGACATGGAACCACAGAGCAAATAATGACATAAGGCCAAAGGAAGTTTAGATTAATTTAAATCATAAGCCAGTTGTACGCTGCAGATAGCGCAGCGTACACAGCAAATAAAGTACGCCCAATCCATGGGTTGCGATAAGAAATATGTTCACACCATCTGTCGAGCGGCCTGTACTTAGCAGAGAGCAGCTCAGTCAGCGTCGTAAATAAGATCATTTTAAGACATGTTATCTGTGCACGCATAGGTGACCATTGATTGTTTAGGTCAACCCGCAGATAGCATAACTAGTCCTAAGCAAACATTATCTTCGAAAATTTCTGTATATAAACGATGCATTTTTCTTCAATAAAGTGAGTGTCTTTTGGAGTGTCTTCAGAGTCTTAGCACATACAAGTCTACTCATTCATTTCTACCATCGCATACACTGTGCGCAACGAAGGACCTCCCTCTCCGTAAGTCCAACTAGTTACAAGTGCTAGTTGCGACGCCTTTTAGTAGTCAGTTTATGTGCTGACTGCTTCCCTTCAAATATACACAAATGTTTTTGGTGACCCCGACGTGATTCCTGCAGTTGTCAACTAGGCGACAAAAGGATAATCAACCGACAAAATTCCACATCTGAAGTTGTCAACTAGGCGACATATCAGGATAAAAGTGTGCTCTCGTTAGTTGAACGACCACAGCACTTATATCAAAGTCCACCAAGCGACAAAAACAAAAAAAAAAACTGATTAAGAAACAGATATACCAGTACATATCTGTAAAGGTTGTGACGGCGCGAATATTCAGCTTGCAATTTTCAAAACACTGCACATAACATGCACATTAGACTTAAGCAGCTGGTCTAGATCAGCTGGTGCAGCTTATGGTGCGTTAGAGAGCTTTCGAACGCGAACTTTCGCTCTTAATCTTTCTAACGCGAACTTTTGCTCTTAAACTGTCAAGTTGGCTGCGCCTGCGTTTCTGAATGCATTTTATTCTTCCGCATGCTCTCGATGCAAGAAGCAACAGCAGATCGGTGCCAAGAAAAGTTTTCTGTTTGTTTTACGTGACAATTTGCACGTGGTCAAATAAATACAATCGGCAAACATCCGAAGCTGGGATAATATTTAAAGTGCGATATTACGGATACCAGAACGCTGAAGACCGGTTATACCCGACAGCAGTCGAATTTAATAAAATTTCGACTCATTACCGGGATTTTGGCAGTTCACGTGTTTCGAGTGTTGGGTGGACCTGCAAGCACACCACATCCAATCATTGCACCACACCACAATACACCATCGACCACGGAACTGGCCACCCAAGCTCCTTCGTCTATTCTTATACCTCATTATTTTGTTGAAAAATAAAATCAAGCCGACTTCAGAAGAGAAGCGTTGCCAGCGCCTATTCAGGGCTGCTCAACGCCTCTCAATACAACAACAATAAGAAGAACAACTACAACAACAATAAGAAGAACAACTACAACAACAATAACAAGAGCAACGGTAACAACAACAGAAGAACAACTACAACAACACAGAAACAACAACCCCGGTGTCTTGAAGTCACCGCATAGCAGGCATAGAGTATAAAAAAAAAGGAAAAAAATGAATTTTAGTTCTAAGTAATATTATACTCCATACTTATAAATTTGTAAAATATTTTCTAGTGAGCGCTTTGTATCCATTTTGCACCTTTGACTCTAATTATCACCGCCTACAGATCGTCTACGTCGACAGGCCTGCTGACATCGATGGATCGCTAAGGATGATATGGTAGTAAGTACGGCGTAGCCGGACATGATGGCATCAGAGATGCAATATTGGTAACTAAGCGCCCATAGAATTTTGTTTGTATTGTATTGATATTCCTAATAGTATAAAATTAATAAGAGTATAATAGTATCAGAGCCACAATTTATAATGAAGTTACAATGTCCTTATTGAATTCCACTATCATGAATAGTCCTTGTATTTAACTTTAATTCAATTATAGAAATATAAACATGGGATAATTTGTTATTATTAAAGGCACCTTAGGTCTGTAGCACCGCAAGCTTCATAGGGTAGGATCCAAAATTGCAATAGATTCCTACAAGGTTGGGTGGGTAAAGAAGGAGAACTCTAACAACTTAGTTCTCCAACTTTAGATAGGCTATAAGCAACATCAGTCCGTTCCATTTGTATGGCTCGCATTCCTTATCCCGTTCTTCCCGTTCTTCCCTGTCTACGAAATTATTACTGTAGTACCGTTTGTTTAGGCGGCACAATACCCACGCCCAATTTCCCTGAGCAAGGCCGCCCCAAATAGTAGACAGGGTGTGCAAGCCGAGACGACATTGTTAGTGTTCGTTACAAGGTCCAACAAGCGACAAAAATCAGTCAAAATGGCATCAGAAAAAAGAACCATCAATGAGTTGCTTGATGTCCAGCAAGATATTAGCGATGAGATTGTACGGCTGATATCTAATTATAAAAAGGATTCCGCTGAGAGAAAATCTCAGGCCGGCTATCACAAAATTAAAGCAGATTCTCTCAATGAGAGATGTAATATTGTCCAAGAAAATGACGAAGTCATAAGAAAATCTGGCGAGCTACCGAAAAATCATGAATACTTCACCTACTATGAGGACATAAGAACAACAGTTCTAAAGTACTTAGAAGTAATCAAAAACGACGCTGAAACCATAAATCAAGCCACAAGCAAGAAGCTTGAGATTGGCGATGGACAGCGTCAGCAATCAACCTTAGAACCCAAGGTGATTGCATTGTGCCGGCGACAAAGGGCAATGATCGCATCACTACATTGCACCAAAGCACCGCACGCAGCATTAGAGTTCATAAGGAATCTATTGACGCAAATTCAAGAGGTCAATTTTCGGCTGAATGAAGAAGTTGAAAACCCAGAATAAAATAGATATGATACAAAAGAGTATCTACAGGCAGAAGAAGATGTACAAAGGGCATTAGCTTTAAAAAGCATTAAGCAGTGCACCAATGACATAAACTTGCCTCGCATAACCATCCCCAAATTTGATGGGGATATATTAAAATGGACACAATTCTTTGATATGTTTGTGTCCATGGTACACGGGACCAACATGCCGACAATTCAAAAAATGTGGTATCTAAAAACCAGCGTGATCGGTGAGGCAGAACAGCACGCGTACCTCAATCCAAGAGACATAGCATCAACGGTATTGAACCGATTTTGAATGCAACAAGCCATTAACGACAATACAAAATCGCTTAAGGAATTATACATAGTCACTGTGGAGTCCCTTGCATCTCTCAAGGGACTCGGATTAGACATCTCAACGTGGGAATTTTAATTATTTTTTAATAGCGGTCATACGAAATAAGCTGGACAGCACAAATAAAACGCTGTACGAGCAATCATTAAGCAACTCGAAGCAAATACAGAAACTGGACACCATGCTTCAGTTTCTTGAACAACGAGTTCGTGTTTTAGCTAGCGGAAGCAAAACACACAGCAATGCCAAAAGGGATTCGATGGGAGCAACTTGTGCATCCTCCTCAACTACAAGGAAGAATTGCCTCTATTGCAAGAAGGCTGATCATATCATATTTCGGTGCGACGTTTTCCGTGCAAAGACAGCCGCTGAGAGATTGAATTGGATTCAACGACAAAAACTATGCGTCAACTGCCTCAAAGGAGATCACATGGCAAAGGTTTGCCCAAGTCGTTTTAAATGCTTCAAGTGCCAAAAACGACACAACACGCTGCTGCATTTGGAAAATTCTTCATTGGAGCAACAAAATCCAATTGTAGCATCAGCAAGTAGCAAAAATATAAACCTACTTGCAACAGCAAAGGTAATAGTCCAAGGAAATAATGGACAACAAGCTACTTTCAAGGCTTTGCTGGATTCTGGATCACAGATTAACGTAATATCAGAACGACTCGCCTCTTTATTAT